TGTGTTTGTCTCTGGCTGCCATCTTTCCACAAAGGCCGAGACTACAACTTTGTTTACAAATTTATAGGAGCAACTCGCTAAAGAAATCAACCCCGAATCCATAATTAAACCATGAAATTTGGACTGTTCATTATCTTCCAAGTTGAATGACCATTCTCCAACTTTAAAACCATGGTTTAAGCATTTAAGTATTCCACGTTCCTGCAACATAGAATAAAAAAATAAAAAAAAATTAGTAAAGTTGAAACAAAATTTAAAACATTAAATTAATGTAAGACAATGACTTACATCATTATGCCAAATTTTGGCTGCTACGTGACAATGAAAACTCTTCAAAACTGAAGGATCATATGGCTCTCCAGGAAAAGGTCCAGTAAGATCTTCATTAACTTTTTCAGTTGTATCTGCTGGTTGGTCTTCATAATCACCCATGTCTGTTGGTTCATCACCCAGATCATCACCTATGTGTATTGGTTCATCACCCATATCTATTGGTTCATCACCCAAATCATCACCCATGTCACTTGTTGGAGATTTCCTAAAAGCTTCAAAACTTTAATTATTTTTATTTGCTAAAGCAACACCTATGTCATTCATGTCATGTTCATTAACTCCACTACCTTGATCCTTTGTCTTACGAGTGCATCGAGGTCTCTTAGCCACTTTTTGATAAAGTACAACATTACGTCTCCTAGACGCTGTTGGGCGATCTTGAGCAGTTTCCACCATAGCTGTCCACCAAGTACAATTAGCTGTGTCATTGAAGCCTATCTCAAATAGGTGTGTCATGACCAATTCTTATTTACCTTCTTTTAATACAATAAACAAACCACAGTATTTTATTGAGTTTTTTTTAATTTTTTTAGCATACTGTAACAGGAAGATGCATGTTATGACCTGAATTTGAATACTTAAAGCTTTGCATTTTGATATGAATTGTAGTTATGATTTAAGCCTCATTTGGGAACAAGCTATACATAGAAGAAATACAATTGTTCATAAATGTAATTCTTTACATGTTATAGACTACATCTCCTCAGGGAACCACTGAAGTATATAATAGAATGGAAGTCTTGCTGCTAACTGATAAACCCTTATAAAAGAATCAAAAACATTAATCAAATCATTTGCCAAAACTGACAGAGGCTTGCAGCATTATGAGTATGGTAAGTCATATTTAAGACACAAAAGGTGCATGTTTTTAAGCACTGTAAAATTTCTAAAGATGTTTGATATATATTGAAGCATATGGTTTTCCTGTAAGTGAATTACTTTATTTAAATCCGTTCTCCATGTTACATCATGTGAAACTAAGGTCGGTTTGTTTATTGCTGTCAATTGCATCTTGTCTGCATTTATGTAACCATATATTGGTCAAGGGCAGTCTATCCTTTCGAAATAGAAATCTATCTGTTAGTTTTTGTTTCAATTACCAGCACTACTAGGAGTGATATGGTGATAGATGAAAGTTCAAAAGGATGTATGATAAGTAGTGGGGTAGACCTGAAGGTTTCTTATCTGCCCAAAGATATGTCCTGCTTAGCAGAATAGAAAACAGGTTTGTTTGCCCAATTTCTGATTTGTGAAGCTAAAAATGTGAATTAAAAAGAACATAATTTTTTTGGCTCAAATAGGGTACAATATCACAGAGTCAACTGCCCTTTTCTTTGTTTACAATTTCTGATTTGTTATTTACAACAAACAATGTATAACAAAAACTAACCTAACCTCACTACTATTACATTATAATATTCAAGCCATCCATTAGATTATAATATTCAGACCTCTATTCTCCCAAAAAAATTGAATTTTATGTGGAATCAAGCCATCCATTACATTATAATATTCTCCCACAATTAGGATTTTGTGTGGTTGTGGTTTTGGTTGGTAAAGGGTTTTTTTTTTTGTTGGTTATGATTAATTGAAGAGAAAAGATAAATAAATTATACCTTTGATGGTAGATGAAAAATTCTACAGCAGTAAATCGTACCTTTGTGTTGAATTTCCGAAAGTGTTGAAATTTTCGAAAAATTGCAGCACCACTTGATTCGAAAGTGTTGAAGCACTTGTAAGGAAAAAGGAAAAAAAAAAGAAGTAATGTCCAGAGAAAAGTGTTGAAGCCCTTCAGCAGCACAGTGGATTCAATCGATGTGGAGAAGATAAACACAGTAGACCGACGGTCAAGGAATGAGAGGTATGAAAAATTAAATGGGTGTGCATTTGATTGTAAAAATATTATGAATATTGGTAGTTTTGGTAATAAGTGGGGTGTCTAAAAAAATATTATTAAAATTTAAGGTTTAGGGTTGGGGTCCAAAGAATTTTGGTAGGTGCTAATAGCAGCACTGTTTTGAAAAGATCTATATAATTCTTGTCCTTTTAAATGACAAATTCAATACAAAAGGATCTATCACCAAATCCCCCAATTTATATCAATAACTTCTAGATTTTGCCACAAATTGCCATCAATTGGAATGAATTTGTTGCCTTCTACATTTTGCCACTAATTGCCATCAATCCATAGAAAGGCACGGGTCAACCTATGTTCTTCGGAAAGTTCTCTTTGGCGATATTTGATTTACAAGATTAACAGTAAAAATATTAATAATTCCATCAAATTAGTGTCATATTCACTGTCCAATTAGATTAGTAGGATAAATTATTCCCTTATTTATTGTTTGATTTACATTGGATAACAAAACATATGAATGTAAGATTATAACTATATTTATCTTCTTTTCCAATCTTACCCCATCAATATTTCTTCACAATCTTTATTTTATCAAAATTTCTTCATAAGCATGGTTTTGACAAAAAATTATATATAAATAAATAAAAGCAAAATAAAAATACAAAATACAAAGTCATGTTTGGTTTGTTTTTTAATTTTTTTTAAATATAAACTGATTTGATAAAATAAATATCAAAAAATATTTTTAAATTTAAAAAAATTAGTTTTAGCCTTCTAAAATATAAAATTATATAAAAATAATAGGTGTTTTAATTTTTAGTCAAGGGTAAAAAAGTCCTTTTATTTTATTTCTCAACTCAAGATATATAATTCCATCCCTACCCCATTACTAATAATCCTACAAATTTTTTGAATTGATTATCTATTAAATTAATAATCTTAAAATAAAATTTCAAAACAAATATAAAATTATTAAACTTACAAATTAATAATTTCAATTTCATACTCTAATCTTGTCCATCAAATATGCCTTTGTCGTCTTGTGTGTTCCGGTGCCAACTTTCCCATGTCACTTTTCTTTGAGTTCATGTGTGACCAACTAGCCTTAATTTTTGTTACACCTATCATTATTGGTTCCTTGGATATGGTGAGGGAACAAGTGGTTTTATTTAGGATTGTGTGCTCTTATGAAAAGACCATGTTCGGACCACTTAAAAATCTACATACTAAATTATTTTCTTCTTTGATGGGAAGACTACATCACTCGACTACTTATTTATCATAGTAATGTTAGTTTTTAAAATTTTTACTAAATATTTTACATAGATATGAAATATATACTATGTGAGTCTTATGTAAATCTCACACTCGTGACATTTGATAAAAAAAAATTAGACATAAGACTCACACCATGTAAATCTCACACCTATGTGAGACATTTGATAAAAATTTTAAGATCTATAATATTTTTGTATTTATCATGTTTACATTGCATTATAACATCTCCAACCATTGGTGTGAAAATGACATTGCCAAAATAACAGTTTGAAATGTTACAATATCAAAATATCATAATTTGATACTGTTATCCAATGGTGCAAATAACATTTTTTTTTTTTTTTACAATTTAAATATAAATATTATTTGAGAGCTTCACCATGAGACACAGTGAGGAGATCCTTGGTCAAATTTTGACATTTCATCAATTTGATACAAAATTTAGCATTGTTATCATTCAAAATGTAAAATAACAATCTTTTGGAGACAAATGCCGGAAAAAAAAGAAAAAAAGAAAAGAAAAGAGAAGTCAATATCAATCTTTGATTGTGACCTATGAAGGGAGGGTAGGGGATGGCTAGAGAGTGAAACCTCCTCTAGCAAAGAGTGGGCCAGCCGTCTATTACGGAAAACATTTTTTTATGATCAACAAAAAAATAAGTCTATTTGAATGAAAATGTACTCTACTTCTGAAAAAAAGAAACTATTTTCCAAACCAAAATTTTGTCAAACCACCATCACCTTCACCAACACAACCATCACCACTACTACCACCATTTTCGCCGCTACCACCAATACAACCATTTCTGCTGCTACCAATGCCAATATAACCACTAGTACATTAATTTCGAGGACAACCAACCGATGAAAACATTTTCTCCAAAAAAACATTTTCAAACGAACAAAGTGATGAGGGAGTTCATAATCTCATTATTTTACAGCATGCTTCCATTTCTTAAAACAAATAAATAAATTAAATTTCACCAAAAAACCACTACAAGCTTTTTAAATTATTTAATTAATATCAATTTTATTTAGGTGTAACATAAAACTAGATAATTTAAAAATAAAAATTAAAAAATAGGATAACTGCGGCTAAACAAACAAAAACAAATTGAACTAGGGAAAAAAAAAAACACTTTGTTGGGACATCATAACATCTGTAGACCTGGACCCCAGAATAATCAGTTGACGGTCAAATTTAACTCAAACCCACCATCACCCAAATTGGCACAAATGTCGAACCCTACTCTTTCATGTGGAAAGCAGGTGTGTTGTACACATTACTACCACCCCCGGTGGTCTGAAGCTAGGCAATTGACATCCATGATTTCCACCCCTTTGATGATTGCACAAAACACACACACACACACACAATTTAATACATAGGAGCAATAAAAATGGTGGATAAGAATGGATTGCCATTACAGTGCATGCGCACAGCTCAACATAAAAATTAACCAAAATTTGATTAAAAGCAAATAACGAATCATATAGTTCACAAAATCTGAATAGTAGAGGCATTTAGATATAAAGCGAAATTTGACACAATTCACCACATATATAGATTAAACAGCTAAAAAGGCACTATAAAATGTGTAGTGATTACATATAGCAGCATAATTTCTTCTACACAACCGTTAAAGCCCAACCATTATACCACCTCATTCCCTATGAACATCAGATTAGAAGAGAATTGGGGGGTGTGAAGGAAAAGAAAACGACGAAAAAAAAAAAAAAAAAAAAAAAAGAATGTGAACTATACCCAGTTTACATCGGCTAACCAAAATCTTATATATGCACAGGAATCAGATATGTAAAAACCAACCTCCGAAAGCGAGGAAAAGCCTTTATAGGTTAAGGGGAAAAGAAGGGAGAAGAAGCTCCAGCCTTGTATCAATATTAAAAGGGCGATACATATGGGAGGTACACCTCCCTTCCCCAACCCACATCAAAGAAAGAATCATACCTACAAAACCAAAGCCACATCGATGTTTTTCCCTTTTTTCATTTTTTTGGCTGCCATCTAATAAATATATGCCTTTCATCTTTGCCCTTTTGGAGTCAGAGGGGTTCCCAGCTCTTTTCTAGTTGTATATTTTGACTGCCTTCTCAAAAGTGAGACGGTTCTGCAAATATTTTCAGCAGACAAGGAAACAACAAAATTAAAAGATTGCCGGCCTGGGTTTGAGGTATCGATAACTCTTGGCTGAAGAAAATGAACTCTGCATCTTCATGAAGAATGCAACCAAGGCCCGGGTTATGTGCCAAAAGAAAATTATTCTGCCACCACCAATATAAAGCAAAGTTCTATAGGAAGAAACATACCTGATTCACTTGATAGGCCCTTTTTGGAGCTGTATCAGAGTGCTCCAACCCAAGGTACTGCTCCCAAGCACCGTAAACATCCCTTCTCTGGAAGAAAATAAATTCAAACATGGAATTCAAATTTGAAGAAAAAACGAAAGCAAAAAAAAAAACAGGAGCTTAAAAACTTTTTCTTTATCCCTCCTCTATGGAAAGAGGGGGTAAGCAATTCTGTGTCACAAGACATGGTCAGCAAGGAACACTAGTCATGGAGTTTTCGCCCCAACCTAGGGGGTGGGGTCAGTAGACCGGGTATATATTGTACGTATATATTTCATTTGCATGCAAGATTAGAGTTATGGTTTGCACTGCTCCATATTTATCAACAAAATCTATAAACATTATAACATAAAAGTCAAGTTTGATATGCCCACCTGAAAACGGTTGGTCACAACATCTGTGTCTTGCAAGTATTCAGGACGGCCCATTGAAAGAAACGCAAACTTCCACTGAGACCCACCAAAAAGGTAAGTGAATGATAAATATAAAGGGACAAAACAGAAAAAAGAAGAGAAAAATCCCAATTTCATGACGGTGGATACAACAGTAAGAAGGATAAAATTTCAAGATGACATTATGGTATACCTTACAGAATTCCTCATCCGGAACCTGCAATTTCTTTTGAACCCGCACTTTAACTTCAGCTAAAGTTTCACCTTCATGTACTACCAAAAAAAAAGGTTCCCCAAAATTTTGGACTTGCTGTCATGGAAAAAGATAGATGCCTAAGGACACAATTATATATCTTGAGTTTATTACCTCAATATTAGTAGTTATTTTGGTAAGAATAGCAATCATGACTTCACAATGTGGCAACCATAAACATTAAGTTTACATTTGGATTAGATAACTTTATAGAAATATGAGACTGCTAATAGATATATTGAGAAGCTAAGAAGAAGATAGAGTAAGAGAATAATTATTTTATTATAATCTTCACACGACAATGATCCACACAAAGGATTTCAAATAACTATTTTCATATTATTATTTCAAATCCATCATAACCTATCATGGTAAAGCTCTCAAATTCAATCTTGAAACCCATATCTAAACTATCATATCCAAATTTGAGCTATTCTGATTAATGGATTAGAGTCCAAATCCTTTTATTTCAAATACATCAATCCAAATGCAGCCTAAACGTTTCCATACCATTGGGTTTTGCCCAGTCTCGTTTGTGAAATGGTAAACATGAATCAAGCGATCAAGAGGACCAAGATTCTTTTGCTCTTCAGGAATCTGAGAAGTAAAGACAAGGTTATCTTTTTAATCACAAGCACCAGTAACATTTATTGAATAAATAAAACCAAAGCTTTTAAAAAAAAAAAAATTAAAAAGCCAGTACCCATTGTTGGTCCTGTCAATATATGATGCCAGGAGGGACATTACCTGCACAAAGTGGCTGCCCCTAATTTCAAATCAACATTCCTATGCTCAATAGCCTGAGCTTTTAGTATGTTTTTTGGGGCAGCACTCCTAGTGACAATCAATCAATGTGGTACCATAGTGACGACGATAACATTGTCCTTCAATTCCACATCCTATACTCTAACCAAATGCACATAAACTTGTGTTGCATGTATAATTCCGATATTATTGCCAATACTTAATTGTAAAAAGAGATGCTATGGCACCTCTTTTTCGAGGATCCTCATGATTGGTTCCTTGTTTAGAAACAATCATTAAAGAAATAATGAAGACAAGTAATAAAGTGTGTCATATACCTGGTGATATAAAACAGTGAAGAAAAACTGGGTGGTAGCAGTCCACTTATTTTAAAAAAACACAAAAAGCATCCTCAGTATGCATCACTTTGCTTATCATTCTCAAAATCAAGTTGCTTAGATTAGATCAATACAAAATTTACTCAAATAACACACATTCCTGTAGACTCTAAACTTTATGAAAATATTGCTATGTCTAGACTCTAGAGGACTATATCTCTCAGCATTTTCTCTGTTCTGAGAGGTCATATAAATAAGTCTAAAATTCAACATTCAACAACCTTTCAAAAGGAAAAGAATAGAAAAATAGAAGGTAGAACGGAAACTTACCTCTTCTGCCCTCAGTGTCCAATATTGATCATTTATATTCTCAATTTTTTCATTCAGTGGAAAGATCTGCAAGAATAAGACAGCAGAATTGCAGATCTCATTATATAAGGCACAATGTATGTACTAGATGAAACAGAATTTGTGTAAATTTAAAATGCATTACATTTTAAAATTGACAAACTTTAGATGACAAAACCACATAAACCCGTAAGGTTAAATTCAAAAAGCATTTTTCAAGTCACACAAACGTAATCATTTCCACCAGGAAGCGAAAGCTTCCGGTCCTCCCATTTGTTCCTCTATTTTTTATTATTTACTTTTTTGCACTACACTCTGATTTTCAAGTCCATTTTTTTATTATTTTGTGTGGTGTGCAAAAAATGGACAATCAATGATGCCAATGTCAATAAGTGCCAACTGGATCATTACCTTGTATATTTTGTGATAGAAGACTTCAAGCAGTCTAAGTTCCGCATCTGGATGAGACAACTCAGCCTGTTCCAGAATGTAGCAAGCATGAATAAATTTTAAACTAGACAATAAAAGATGTGATCTTGCAAGAGCTAAGATTGAGCATAAAGATATTGCCTAAGTATATTTGATTTGAATAATTTCTTAAAGAAATTGTGATATACACTCCCTCAGGCTTCAAACAATAACTATGGCAATGCATGTGCTTTCTATGCATGTTTGAACAGAGAAGTGGCGGACCAAGCTTTCTATCAAATTGATAAGAGAGAAAAAAAAAGAGATGGAGTTGGGACAAAGAGGAATCAATCAATAAAAACCTCCCCTTGGTTGTCATAATGCATACTTGCATAACATTTATTTAGTGAGGTGAAGACCAGAATAACAGAAAATTTATCCGAACATGATTCTCAATGCTGAAAACAGAGTAGTGGGAAAGGGGTTAGATTTTTTGGAATTTTAGGCATTATATTGTCAGGAAACTTCATTATGAGTTTTATAGAAAATAATGCACAACATGAGTTATTAACTAGAGCAAAAACTTACCTTTGTCTTGAGTTCATCAAGCACATCCCCCACAGTGCTCTGTCTGGGCAATCTAATATTGTGAATCACCACCTGAATAAAGTTTAAACTAGATTAGGACAGACAGTACAAAACTTAGAAGATGACTGAGGTTTTGGTGTGATGACATCTGTAGTATCAAATCAAAGATGAACCTCGTCCTTTGTTGCATGATGAAAAGCAACTTTCAGTGTTTTTAGACATTGCAATTCTGGCAGAGGGATATCCAGCACTTCATAATACAAAATATCGGAAGTCTGTCAGAAAGGAAACCAACACAATTGTTCAGTCCTTGACATCATAATAGTTTTCCCCCAATTTCTGTTTGATACATAATAACTAGTTCACAGAAAGTAAAAGAATACACCAGGATTTAGACTCAGCTCAATTGATGTGATAGTACCTGATTGTAGTGGACTAGCATGTCAAGCAAGCGCTCCGCAGCTCGATATTTAATTGGGTGGGGCTTTGGTTGCTGAGAGTAGCAGTTGTGAGGAGTAAGTCTTATCTTTGATGGATCATCCACACCAAGTCGATGGGCCACTCTCTCCACTACGTCATCATATGTATGTAACTTTGACCTTAAAATTTATTAAGGACATGGTAAGCAATAGGCAGGGTAATACAAAAAAACAAACCTATGACCAATAAGTAAATGCAATCTATGCCCCCTTCTGTCAGAATAATGGCATGAAGCGGGGAAAAGTACTCACAATTCTAGACAGAAATCATCCTCCTTAGGTCTCTGTAGGGATCGAAAATGAACTACCTGCAAAGGATTAAATCACAAGTATAATGAGTTAAGACTGACATTAAAAATCTTTAACCCCCTCCAAAAAAATCAAATAAATAAACTAAAAGGCCATCGAGCTGCCCTTTCCCCCAAAGGAACAAATTTCACTTGATTTGACAAGAATAACAAGGGCAGTCCGAAGAAAAAGGCAAAACAATTAATAAGTACTAAATGCAGTTTTTTTTTTCCAAAGATCTTCATCCATCCAAGAAAAATCGGGTTACTTCGGTCCACTCATCAGCTAATTGTAACCTGCGGGCAGAGATAAAGCTCACTTTTAACCGGAAAACTAATTTACCCAAAAATCAATACATCCCTCTACCAAAAGCTCTTCAGAAAACAGTTTCAACCTTAAGCATGGCTCCAAAACAGTAGTTTCCTTCCCAGTAAATAAAAAGGTTGTGAATTTCAATGCATTTTGTGTTTAAATGATTTACTGATATTTATCAAATTGGATTGAATGAGGTGGAAGTGAATAGAAGTGCAATGTTAGATAACTTGCATCATCATTAAGACATGCAAGCAACAACATTTCTAGATGTATTTACATATTTCCAACTAAATTAAAACTATCTAATTCTGCATGACAGATTTTCTTCGCTGGAAAGATATATTTAACACATCGACATTACTGGAATCATATATTCTACGCATCAACAGCAAAACGATCCCTATTCTTCTTATGCACCACAATTTACTATCCATTTCAGGATAAATTTTTGTTCCCTCCACGTGTAGTTTCAAAGAAGTCTCTTCTCCATCAAAATGAGCACGATATTCTGGCAGTGGCACATCATTGCAATTGTAATATAAACAAAAAAGTGAAAAAGTTCAAGCAAATAAGACCTGACGGTTATGCACATATTCCAAAAATGCAGAAACAAAGGGATATCGACATTGTTCTTCATTTTCATGTGGAGGGGATTTCTGAAAGCAAATGATGTCCCCATCTTCAATCTGTAAACAAAGAAATTGACACTAAAATTTAAATATTCACTGGCATTCTTTAAAAACAAATGCAAGGGTGGTGTATAAAGCACCAAAATACCTGGCTAGATCTAAATGATACCCTTTTGTCAAGGCGTTCGCACATGACACAAGGCTCAAATTTTATTTCCTGAAGACACAATAAAAAGGCCATAAAATGATGAAGTAAAAACAGCTCAACATAATATTCACAAAGCTGGCTGAATAGAAACAAAATCACAGTTCAAACATTTAATGAGAAACAAACCTCATAAATGTCAATCTCTTCATCAGGGGCAAATCCAGCCATTTCATTTATTTTTGTTAAAATGTCAATTGGCTTACCAGAACTCTTCACAAAAAGTCTACCAACATACCTGGGAACATAAAATCAATTCAAATGTCAAACAGCTTACTGTAAGAGGCAACAAATAATCATAATTGAAAAGGAAAAAAAATTACTAATTACCGAAGCTCTTCTTTCTCAGGGTCATAAAGCTTGAAGAAGAGAAGAATATCTTCCTTAGTTTTGTCAGGTGGAGGAATAGGACTTCGATCCTGAAGCAGTGTACAGAGTAATCAGTAAAAATGGACAATAAATTGGAGTACAGAAGACCACCCAATGCTTGCTGACAGATCATAAAACAAAATACCAAAATTGGTAACAGAAGATTACCAGACCAAGCTCTATTTCCAAGAACAACTTCAGTTCCGCATTGTGTGTTTTATTAGAAACCTCCCTCAACTGCCCCACCTACATTTACAAATGACAATTGGTTAATATTAAGTTCTGTAAAGCATTATTGAAAATTCAATATGCAACACATTGTACTTCATTTAGCACGTCAAGATTTGAGCAAACAGCATTAGCAGAACTCATTGCATAAACAATGAAGCAATAGGATAGTGTCAGATCAGTTATGGGACAACGCAGTGCCATCAAGCAAAACAAGACACCCGCTGCCCCGATTTAATTTTCCAAATCTGAAGTTCTCTTGCTCTGTCCTGCTCTGATTACTGCAATTGAACCAAATTTCACACAATATCATATCACACATAAAAGGCAAAATAGATGAGTCTTAATATACATTAGATGAGCTCTCCACTTATAGGCTTAAGCTTTTAAGTGGGTATGAGTTTCAAATAATGTATATTGGGCCTTGATATGGTATTTGTGGACTTTGGAGTTTCTCCCTGATGAATTGGGGCGGTATTGCTGTGAACTTGTAAGCTCCCTAATTCCCTAACACAATCATCATAACACAAGCATACAAAAATGTCCTACGTAGTTGACAGAATATTTCAGAATAGAAAACTCTCTTATTTTGATTCACAGGGAGGTTTCTCTCCCTCTGGATTCCCATCACTTGCCTCCCAACATCAAACCTTAGCAATATTGATTTGAAGATTTGTTGGCTGAAGCCACCTTCACCAGGTGGCACATGCGAGAGCATAAAAAAGAAAAAAGCTAAATGAGTAGTTTTCTTTTCTTTGTTTTTTTGATAAATAAAGATAAATGATTACTTTTCTACCAAGACACAGAAGGCGGCAATGGTCTCAAAACGTAAGCTTTTTAATCTCCACGTAAGTATGGACTGTTAAAGAGAGCTCGTAAAGTGACCATAAAACCCTAAACCCTAAATTTATGTCAGATTTCTATAGACTTGACAAAGGATCACAATTTTGACCAGAAAACATTGACAGTTATGAAGGTCATGTTTCAAGCGTCCCAGAAATGCACACAAGGAAAATTTTGCGTAAAGAATCTGCACTTCCTTCTTTGCAGAAGATCAAGAGCCAACAAAATGAAATTCTGTTAATATTCATATGTATCCGTTAATGCTTCATAGAGACATCTTCTAAAGGCAGTGGTTCTACCAACCACAGAACCCTTAATATGCACTTCACTCATTTGTTATGAATCAAAACTATCCAGCTGGTTAGAATATTCCCGTCACCAAAACTAATTCTTTACCATAGTAATCAATTACAAATGAACTGATATCTCATGGGAAAAACAATCTATGTGTCCTTCACAACTATAGATATGTGATGCAAGGATTAAAGCTTTTGAAGGTGTAAGCCTCAATCACTGAAACCTTGAATAGAAAAATACAAGGTGTCAGCCTGATTGATTGCACAACAATTAAAACACCAGCACAGAGAATGTGCACATGAGATTTTATATGTGGGCTAAAACAGATCAGGTTCCCGCCTCCTCCCACATATTTATTTTACAATGTAATAGGGAGCAAAAATGATGAGCAAGTTTCAGCATTCTGTTTCAAAACTTCAATGGTCTAAAAGTGGTTCTTAAGACCTCTTTGGCTACCAACAAATCCTTAAATCTCTCTCCCGACTCAAAATTATTTCTTACCTATAATGGTACGGGTTGCAAATGCCTTAAGAAATGCCACAGGTTATAGTTACTAGCATCAAGTCTAAAACTAGAGCAGGAATCTCATAGATGCAACCTAACACGAAAACAAATTGTAATCCCACACGCAGGCTATGTATGGAAAAATGATGAAGGTATCATCTTTCACCGTTGCACCCACAAGCAAAGGAAAATCACTACACATGAGGTGTGGGAAATATGTATAATAACAAAATCAAAGCTCCTAACTCTTTCAGGTATGAGTTTTGCTAATATTTTGATGTCCACTGAAGTAACTCAATGCATCACCTCTGTCACCAAAAGCCGTAACACATCACCAAAAGCCACTACACACACAGCCTCACTTCACAAAGCTTTATGGGAGATATCAACTACTAGAAGTCTACAATAAAAAGGTCTATGCATAGATATTACAATTGAGAAACTTCACCAAAAAAAATTATTTAATAGCGAGGCATGCTGGAAAACACACTGCTGAAATTGTATCTTACGTCCTTTAAATGCTTCTACAAAGGACTGAACCCCAAACAACTTTCACAAAAGTTGTGAACTATAGACAGCTTAAGAGTTTAGCCAATGAACATAAATTCAGGGAGAGTTCAGTAGCCTTCCCAAGGACTAGTTGTAGCAAAGTAAACATTCGGCAAACATATCTCAATTCCATTTCAATACTTGCACCAACATCTCTTTCTCTAACAAAGCACCACATTATTATGGTAAACCGAAGGACAACATAAACCTCAAAAGGATAAATTTTCAATTTAACCATAGAAATACTGCACAACATTTCCAAAACTATGCCATGGATAACAAATCAGGTAGAAATTTCTGTGCAAAAAGAAACAAGAGTGGAAGGTATTTACAGATTGTGCCTCCTCCTGTGGTGTCAATGGCCGATTGGGACGATATGTGTGGTTTTGCCTCTTTGCCCAAATCCAAAAACGCTGAAACTGCACAGGAATACCAAGTTCCTTGGCAACCTCCTCCTGAAAATCAGAACATATATCATTTAAAAGAAAAAGCAAATCTAAAAAGCACCACAAAATTTTTATTTTTTTTTAAAAGGGCAAAAGCTGCTCTTCTGTAAGGCACTGACACTTGAAAACAAGTGCCATATCCGTGTCGGACACACGAACACTTCGGGGACACCTAGACACGGCGGAGACACGTATGTGACACACCACATGGCGTGTCCCCTTATTTATTTTCAGAGGACACTTTAGGAACGCACTAGGGACATGCCAAATTGTCTTTTCTCCCATTTTATCTAGTGTTTTTGATGAATGTTGAATGTTTATTATTTTTTTCTTAGATTTAAATACTTAATAGATCATTCATAAAAAAATATATCAATTGTAAATGTTAATTTAAAAGTATTTTTTTTTATAAGAAAAAAATAGAGAATTAAAGTTAGTTTTTGTCAATATTGATTGTTTGTGGATGTAATATTAATCTAGATAGCAAACAAAAACATATTGAAACATATTTTATTGCCTTATCCCCGCCGTGTCTATATCCCCATTTTTTTAAAATCGCCGTATCCCATGTCCACATCCATATCTGTGTATGTGTTTCTTAGCTACTCTTCATTAAATGGCTAATTTGACAGAGACCAATCCTTACGTGTTAACAATCAAATGAGCACCAAATTTCTCAATAGAAGACTAAACAAAAAAAAAATGTTTGTCCTAAGTCCTAACAAAACTAACATCAAAAATCAGATTCAGCTACCACTTTCTTGTAATAAATTCAAGCATTTGATTAGTGTCTTTTACCATAGCATCCACAAATAGCGTCTTTATAGTGGGTAAATGGCAGTAATTATCAAGACCAGAACACAAAGATTGGGACATGTGAAATTTTCTGCCAATAAGGGTTTAGTATATATCCTAAAGACTAAGTGTTTCTGAGCAACCAAAAAAAAATCTCAGTGGAGATATATCATGGCCTGATTTTCCCATTTGTGGTATAGTTTAGTACGTTAACCCTACATGACTTCAAAAGGCCAACATAAACTTGCTGCTTATTCAATCCGAAACCTGAAAATAACTGTGAAAATTTTTCAACAAACAAACATAAGGGCCCACAATCATGGCATTAACAATAATAATAGGCTCACAATGAAGTCACAAGAAGCTAGTCATGAAGACAAGAAGATCAAAGACACAATAGAGCCCATGAACCTGCTTTTAAAATTTAATGAAAAAAGAACAGTAGTTGAGGAGGTGGTATAGTGATTCTTCTTCTTGTAGAGATTAAATTTGTTTTAGATGTCCCACTAGAAATAAATAAACTCAACAGCAGGTTTCGAAAAGTTTAAATGATCCAGATGGAACCTACAAAGAACATATAATAGTAATGGAACAGTAGCAACTACGCGGCTCAGAGACAAGCATGGACATTGACACATAAGGACAAGCCAACTATGAAAGATCCAAATTCTTTAAACCATTCTGTAACTCAAAAGATGAAGCTCCAGAAATATACAGAAGGATATTGTGCACCCACATATTATATACATATATTATTATTATACAATGTTATTTTCTTATATCAAAATGCATCTTGATTCATTTTGGCCAAATCCTCAATAATAAGTTTCTTTCAAAAACACTTTAAACATATATGGGCTAGCAGATGTATTTCCAGGAGTGTCACATCAGAGACAGCATAGCACTAGGTGCCCAGGCTTCCTATCCATTGTGATTTAAAGAGCGTGCAGAACACAAAGATTGCTAAACAGAAACCATGATATGTTACAAACACTTCGTGAGACACTTCCCGACATTCATCAAACATTTACAACATGTGTCCAACACACATCCAAACATGTCCTATTTTTATTTTTTTAAAATTAGACTCAAACACACTTTGGACACTTGGCAAACACATGTCCATCGCTTCGACATTTACAAATTTGAACAAAATAACTTCTGATCTAATGATAAAAGAAAAATAATGAAGATTTAAACCTATTAATACATCATCCTTTAAACTCTAGAAACCGGTATTATGTTGTACAATCATCCTGCACGCGCGCACACACTAAGCACGGCAGTGGCACCACACAGTGGGCATAAAAGATAAGAGTTTTATTCCAGATGGTGCATGCTGAGTTCAGTTTCCAAGCACAAAAGAACCAGCAAAAAGTTAATCTATTCAAAAAAAATAAACAAAATCTCCAACATTAACATTTGTCTTAAATATGCCTTAATCATGTGTAACTATATAGTAGTAGCACTTCACTAAATTTTTAAAAAAAATGAGAAGGGGGACATGCATATTGGTATTGATAACTTAGACTTCTAAAGTTTTCTTAGATCAGATACAATGTGGTAAAGTGAACCATACCTTGAAAAGGTTAAACGGCATTTGCTTCTGAATACGAAAACTATGAACCCTTTCATGATCCACAAGATCAAAATAAATATCCTTTCCAATCTGTTCTACTAGGTCTTCATCACGAGCAACCTACAAGTACCAAATGATTATTTAAGTGATACACGCCCATTAAGTTTTTTCAATAAAAATAAATAACAGAGGACATGCTACAATTGTTCATTGAAAAAATTGTCAGGTAAGAAACCAAAACCTTGATAATAGTATAAAGGTGAGCCTGAGCTTTGTATCTTCTTTTGTCCTCTTTTTCTTCTTGTTCTTTCTTCAACCTTATCTAGAATAAGATAATTATCTATGTCAACCAAGACCCTGGCATATGCAAACTAACATCTGCACAACACTAAAATTTATGAAATTTATTTAAACTATAAACAAAGCCAAGAATTTACCCTAAGATGCTCTGCGATGTCCTTTTCATCCACATTACAGACTATCTTCTCCTTGTCACTTTCACGTATATACACAAGCATGTATGCATTTGAATATTTCGTAAATTTAAATGGGGTATTATTGAAACCAGGATTTGTCTGCGGCAACTGTTGAGCAAAGCAGCAAGAGGAAACAAGATAACTTCATAATCAAAACAAAGATATAGGAAGAAAAAGCTCCTGAAGTAATGCTGGTAAAAGCCTACCTCTTCCTCACCACCATACTGCTCCTCTAACGCCCTCTTTATGTCTTCCTTTGTTACCCGTTCATCATCAAATTTGAACCTAAAGAGGGAAATTATGAAAACCACAACAATAATAGACCTTGACACATGAAATAATGTCAAATGAATGAAAACATGGAAAACACCATGCAACATGTATTGGCCCCGTTTGGTAGAGCTGTGGAAAAGTGATTATAGATTATACCTTAACAGATTATGACTTATACCTATGAACATAAGTTGTTAACCTGTTTGGTGCAGCTGTGGGATTATGAATTTAAGCAGCAGAGTAGTGTTTGGTTAATAATAGGGGTGGGCGCGGGTCGGTTGCGGCCACGGAACCTCCAATCCGCCATCCGTCCGCCAGATTGGCGGATTGAAGAAAATCAAACCGCATCCGTCCGCCAATCCGGCGGATGTGGATTGAGCGGATTTTTTCTTCAGAAATATATAATTTTTTATTTTTTAATTAATATAAAAATATACAATATGAATTTATTAATAATTAATACCAATTAATATTTATTTTTCAATTAATATTGATTTTTTTCTTTTTCTTCAGAAATATATAATTTTTTATTTTTTAATTAATATAAAAATATACAATATGAATTTATTAATAATTAATACCAATTAATATTTATTTTTCAATTAATATTGATTTTTTTCTTTTTCTTCAGAAATATATAATTTTTTATTTTTTAATTAATATAAAAATATACAATATGAATTTATTAATAATTAATACCAATTAATATTTATTTTTCAATTAATATTGATTTTTTTCTTTTTCTTCAGAAATATATAATTTTTTATTTTTTAATTAATATAAAAATATACAATATGAATTTATTAATAATTAATACCAATTAATATTTATTTTTCAATTAATATTGATTTTTTTCTTTTTCTTCAGAAATATATAATTTTTTATTTTTTAATTAATATAAAAATATACAATATGAATTTATTAATAATTAATACCAATTAATATTTATTTTTCAATTAATATTGATTTTTTTCTTTTTCTTTAGAAATATACAATTTTTTTATTTTTTAATTAATATTAATATTTGAGTATTGACGATGGCATTTAAGTAATTTTAGCCCCTCACACCAGCTGCGTGCTTAAGTAAAAAATTTAAGCACCCCCTGATCAGCTTTTGAGATAAGCTGAGAAATAGCTTGATTTAAAAACTGGTTAACTTAAGCTGCACCAAACATAATATTTTGGCTTAAATTAAGCTAAAAGCTGAAATAAGCAGCTTATAAACTCTACCAAACAGGCCTATTAATGAAGACAAACACCCAACAAAGTAAAAGACTGTTGAATGATAATAAAGCATGTGGTACCACAATGCACTGAAAGTTTCAAAACTTTTGTTCACAATATTCCACTATTTTGACGTGTGAACATATTTGAAATTGTTTTTTGACTGCTCGGTGAGGTTCCACCAATCATTTCTAAAGCAACTCTGAGCCAGTATCAAAAGGAAGATGAAGGAATGTGGTATAGTGAGGACATGAGCACTCCCAGAGCATAAAAGATAAAGGGCAGTTAATAAATAGACACGAACACAAACAACCTAAAAATAGATTGGCTTTTTCCCTTCACTTTTAGAGCATCTGATATAAAACAGTAAAACTCTAATTCCAAAATTTGATTTTGTTCTTCTCCAGATGTACTGCATTCATTAGCCTATTCATTTTGTCTCATCTTTAATTTTACATTCTTTCCGTTTTTTGCTTATAATTTTCCCCATTTAGAAACCCATATAACATTTTATTTAGTTTAAATTCACCCTTTCCCATGTCCTTACAGAGAGAAAATTTACAGAAGATAAAGGAACATATTTTCTGATTTGCAGTGTTAAGGGATAAAAAGGTACCACATTTGCAACCTAGATCACCAGAAACATTATGTTCCCCAATACACTTGGTGGTATTAAACCATTCCACCGAAATATCACCAAGTAAATGTGCCCGCAAATCTCACAATCAATAAGATACAAGGTGGTAATGCAAGCTTCTATATTCGGACTCTTCTATAAAATACATCAATGACTTACTACATCATTGACCAACAAGAGCAGTTGGGAATCGGTGTGCTGGCTGATAAATCTCTTTCCAGGTTCTCTCTATCTGCCTTTCCTGGGTCCTGAAGTTCATTCTAGTCAGGCAAAGATGCAGGTTGAAGGAGGGTTGAACAAAGAGTCTACTCAAGCGGCAATGTTCGATTAATTATGAGGGAAAAAAGGAACGTGAGGGTTTAATGGAACGGTGTGGCAGAAGAAATCTGTTCGTGCATTTATTATCTTCATGGAAGAGTTCAAGAGGAGTTTAAGGAAAAGTATCCAGACATAAAATTTGTTGTTATTTGAAAGGCTGGAGGAGATAAATTTGAATCAATGACAGAAGGTAAGAAAATATTTTATGCTTAGTTGGCACATGTTTGGAGTTTATTTGCTGGTCTGGTAGCAGATTTCTTTCGGATTGTATTTGGGGCAAGTGGTTTTATAATGTTGCTCACAAAAAATATATTGTTTTCAAGAAGCAGATGTTGCATCTAAAAGAGTGAGTACTGTGGAACATAGTTATAAGCTCACTAATTTGTAGAAGAATACAGAGAAAAGTACCGAAAAGGGGGAAAAAGAAAAAGAAAGATAGAACCAACAACTGGAATTCTATTAGCTATTCGTGTAACTATGTAACTTTTTCAAGGCCGCGAAGAAAATTTAAATAAGAAATTAGGTCATAAGCTCAACTGAATCAAGTCTAAAAAATATACATATTCATTGGTCAAAAAGTATCAGGCTGCACAACATAAAAGCATATGACACGCACGCATGCACAGAGAGTTTTATAGGGACAAGATGCATACCATTGATCAGATAGGGTCGGCCTGATATAAGCATAATAATGTCCACCGTGCACCCCACCACTATGAACCAAAACACTACCAAAACAAACAAATAAATTAAAGAAAAGAAAGTGAGCAGAAATTTAATAGCATTATTAAATTCATATATGCACAACGCACAGTCAACTTACACATTTGGTAAAATGTATGTACTGGAATCAATACAGAAACAGAAGTTACCAACAAAAAGATTATCATTGGACTCAGTCACCAAAGACTGTGAAACACCCAATTAACAGACTAGATAAGATAGAAAAATCCAGCAGAGGATATAAATAATCAAACTGGCTGAAGAAACTATATAATGAACAGTTTCATCACAAAAATTGGGCATTAGAGTTAAGATAAAAAGGTCTCAAAGAAAAGAGAAATGAAAACTCATCATCCATATCAAAATGAAAGAAAATGCTGAAACCAACATCTTAATATTCAATCTACCAAGACAACCATTCCAGGGATGAAATCTGTTGGCATCGTACTAGGAAGGTCCATGTTTCAAATCCAACACCAGGTAGTGCAAAAAGATACAGACATACATCTGATCAACAAGTGCAAGTCAAAAGCAAGTAACATAATTCTTATAACTAAAATGACTAGTCCAACTAGCTACAACCATAAATGCAACAGAGTAGGCCTACAAACTATTTATTGAAGGAAGGCTTTGCTCTTTCACCCTATACAAATGCCTGCAAATTTATGAGTTGTTCAAGAAAAGCTCAGGTTCAGCTTGCTAAGATTCATTCATCTACCAAACAAGCTTCAGCCAAGCCCAAGACTGATTGCAAATTTATGAGCTGTTAAAGAATAGCAGGCTCAGCTTGTTTATGAGCTTATTCAATTATTCATTCACCAAATGAGCTTCAGAGCCAACCACAAGACAAAGCCTAGTTCTAAAACGTGTTTCCTTGATCACAAACCAACAAGCATAGAGTCAAAACTTGTTTCCTTGATCACAAGCCAACAAGCATAGGGCCCACTTAAAAACAAATGATTTTGTTTTCAAACTGAACATTGTTTTCACTAAAAAACAAAATGAATTGAATAAAATAATCCCTAACAGGCCCTACATGTGTCGCATACATATCCAAATATCAAAGCTCAAATGTTGATATATGCAAGGCTATGTTTTTTGTGTGTATAAGCAATGGGCAAGTGTGTCCCTTGAGTGTTCAAAGCTTGTCCATTATAAATTTTAAAATTTTAAAAACATAATAGGACACATTTAAATGCGTATCCGACAAGGTCGGTATCCGACGCAGACAAAACACCTCTTAAAAGCCTTTTTGTCATTGTGTGTGTATATTACATTCATACAAATCTAGATTTTTCTTGAATTTCTTTTGTTCTTGAGGTTAAGCAAGGCAGGATGAGGGAGGAACAAGAGAAGGGTCGAGGAGTCATCCCAGTCCCACACCAGCCTGTTGCCATCCCCACAATGACTGTAATCATCAACATATTACTTGTACTACCTTAAATGCAGAAGATGCCTCTCGTGCCTCTTGTTCTCCGTCAACATGTTATTCTCTTCTCACATTTTTCACCCTTTTGATGCTTTCTTAAGTTCCAAATTTTGTTAAAAATGGTGATCATAAAACCATGACCAAAACCCACCCTAATACCTAATGTAGGCAGCATAGCCCAAGTTCCCTAAAGCAGTCCTACATTGATGTAACACCAAGCTTGAACTTGCAAAAAAATATAGCAAGTCGAGCTTGGATATGGTTAGGTTAAACCAAACATGCTTGGTTTGAAGCTAAGCCTAAACAATATTCCACCTTTGACAAGCAAGTGAAGCCTTAATGGCCAAGTAAATGGGTTGGCTCAATTCAGTTGCATCTCTACCTGCTAGAACTTTCTAAATTTAGCCTTGTTTATAATCAACTAGTATTGTCAATTATAGTTTTTTATTTGTATCTATATAATAAATAGCGAGGAGCTGCTCACGACATTAATAAGTATATGATATATATATATATACTCTGAAATATGGAAAAGAATGGTTCTCCAGGAAAGCATATCCCTTAGCCCCGGGGCATTAAAACAATGCTTTAAACACTTTTTGTTCCTTGGGCTTTGTATCAAACATTTTTCAAGTAGTACCACTTTGGGTTGCTTCAAAGGAACTAAAAATCAAGAAAGACAACCGAAACTATTACCTATGAAGTGTGTAAAGGTTGCGAACACTCCTATCTGCATCAGGTGATAAATATTTACCATCCTCCCTATCAAGGTCAAGTTGAAGAGGGAATTCATAGCGGTCATTTATCTGCACAGAGAATACATGCACAATTACAAATAGAAACAAGTATAAACAACATTTCCTCTCACATGGAACAGAATTCATCTCAACATCAATGTGTTCAATCCGTGAGAAAATTAATAAAAAATAAACCAAAATATTGAAGAATATGCAAAATCTAAAACTTAATGGTGCTTACAAGCCCCCTGGAAATTAGAATACAATTGGTAGATAATAAAAGGCTTATACAAAACAGGATTTAAGTCACTGTAACAATTTGGCATATCATCAAGAAGACTACAATCATGCAATAATAAATATAGCATTAATAGAACAGCGGAGGCCCCTACCACTGAAGAATCGAATAAGCGTATAAAAAAAAAAAGGATGAAGAACTGTTACTGATCTGTCCAAGAAATAAGTTGATGACCATGGTGGCACACCCAGTGAAATGAGCTTGTTCAACGGACTCTTCTCTCTCAATCTTAGTCTCTCTTTTCTCCCTTTCTCCTAATTCTTTCTCTACATTTGCTGTCTTTACTGTTGGATTTGATGGGAATCTAATTTCTATTTGAAATTTTTATGCTTTCATCAGATTCCCTCAAATTTGTGTCAAACACATGCCCAAATTTTGATTGAAACGATTTCATAAAGCTCGAAACCCACTGTAACAAGCTCATTTCATTTGCAACCAAAAAATTTCAATATTCTCTGTGGGTTTCATTTCAGTTTCCACCAAAACCGAATTATTTCATTCACCAAATGAGCTTCAGAGCCAACCACAAGACAAAGCCTAGTTCTAAAACGTGTTTCCTTGATCACAAACCAACAAGCATAGAGTCAAAACTTGTTTCCTTGATCACAAGCCAACAAGCATAGGGCCCACTTAAAAACAAATGATTTTGTTTTCAAACTGAACATTGTTTTCACTAAAAAACAAAATGAATTGAATAAAATAATCCCTAACAGGCCCTACATGTGTCGCATACATATCCAAATATCAAAGCTCAAATGTTGATATATGCAAGGCTATGTATTTTGTGTGTATAAGCAATGGGCAAGTGTGTCCCTTGAGTGTTCAAAGCTTGTCCATTATAAATTTTAAAATTTTAAAAACATAATAGGACACATTTAAATGCGTATCCGACAAGGTCGGTATCCGACGCAGACAAAACACCTCTTAAAAGCCTTTTTGTCATTGTGTGTGTATATTACATTCATACAAATCTAGATTTTTCTTGAATTTCTTTTGTTCTTGAGGTTAAGCAAGGCAGGATGAGGGAGGAACAAGAGAAGGGTCGAGGAGTCATCCCAGTCCCACACCAGCCTGTTGCCATCCCCACAATGACTGTAATCATCAACATATTACTTGTACTACCTTAAATGCAGAAGATGCCTCTCGTGCCTCTTGTTCTCCGTCAACATGTTATTCTCTTCTCACATTTTTCACCCTTTTGATGCTTTCTTAAGTTCCAAATTTTGTTAAAAATGGTGATCATAAAACCATGACCAAAACCCACCCTAATACCTAATGTAGGCAGCATAGCCCAAGTTCCCTAAAGCAGTCCTACATTGATGTAACACCAAGCTTGAACTTGCAAAAAAATATAGCAAGTCGAGCTTGGATATGGTTAGGTTAAACCAAACATGCTTGGTTTGAAGCTAAGCCTAAACAATATTCCACCTTTGACAAGCAAGTGAAGCCTTAATGGCCAAGTAAATGGGTTGGCTCAATTCAGTTGCATCTCTACCTGCTAGAACTTTCTAAATTTAGCCTTGTTTATAATCAACTAGTATTGTCAATTATAGTGTTTTATTTGTATCTATATAATAAATAGCAAGGAGCTGCTCACGACATTAATAAGTATATGGTATATATATACTCCGAAATATGGAAAAGAATGGTTCTCCAGGAAAGCATATCCCTTAGCCCCGGGGCATTAAAACAATGCTTTAAACACTTTTTGTTCCTTGGGCTTTGTATCAAACATTTTTCAAGTAGTACCACTTTGGGTTGCTTCAAAGGAACTTAAAATCAAGAAAGACAACCGAAACTATTACCTATGAAGTGTGTAAAGGTTGCGAACACTCCTATCTGCATCAGGTGATAAATATTTACCATCCTCCCTATCAAGGTCAAGTTGAAGAGGGAATTCATAGCGGTCATTTATCTGCACAGAGAATACATGCACAATTACAAATAGAAACAAGTATAAACAACATTTCCTCTCACATGGAACAGAATTCATCTCAACATCAATGTGTTCAATCCGTGAGAAAATTAATAAAAAATAAACCAAAATATTGAAGAATATGCAAAATCTAAAACTTAATGGTGCTTACAAGCCCCCTGGAAATTAGAATACAATTGGTAGATAATAAAAGGCTTATACAAAACAGGATTTAAGTCACTGTAACAATTTGGCATATCATCAAGAAGACTACAATCATGCAATAATAAATATAGCATTAATAGAACAGCGGAGGCCCCTACCACTGAAGAATCGAATAAGCGTATAAAAAAAAAAAGGATGAAGAACTGTTACTGATCTGTCCAAGAAATAAGTTGATGACCATGGTGGCACACCCAGTGAAATGAGCTTGTTCAACGGACTCTTCTCTCTCAATCTTAGTCTCTCTTTTCTCCCTTTCTCCTAATTCTTTCTCTACATTTGCTGTCTTTACTGTTGGATTTGATGGGAATCTAATTTCTATTTGAAATTTTTATGCTTTCATCAGATTCCCTCAAATTTGTGTCAAACACATGCCCAAATTTTGATTGAAACGATTTCATAAAGCTCGAAACCCACTGTAACAAGCTCATTTCATTTGCAACCAAAAAATTTCAATATTCTCTGTGGGTTTCATTTCAGTTTCCACCAAAACCGAATTATTTTGGACATTTCAACCAAATCGAAATGAATTTTAGTTCCTTGATTCAAACATCTCCAGTGTAGAAAATCATTCATTTCTATGAATGTTACAAATATATATATATATATATATATTAGAGCTAAACTGATATACTAAACCAAGTTTCCCAACCAAGTTTATCGAAGTGTATAATAGTCAAGTAATAATTTAAGAAGCATGCAGAATGTCAATCATGTTGAGAAAATGTGTAGAGACAGCTCCCTCTACTGACCTTCACCATCGTATCCCGCATGAAATCATATTCAAACCGCTTTAGTTGAAGTTGAAGAACTGGCGGGAAGTCAATAAATAAAACACCCTTCTTAGCATCCTGAAATTAACAGAGATGCAGGCATTTACCTTGAGAATCATATTCAAATATATATATGTACGCATATCATCTAAACTGATGGTTTGTTTAACTAACTTTAAAAATAATAAAAATAAAATAAAAAAACCGCAACTACGTGCATAAAAGAAACTTGGGCAACCACATACCATATTGTCTATATGATTGCTAACCGCAAATCAAATCGTTAATAGTTTAGGTAAAATAGTGAAGCTGAATTGTATCAAATTGTGAATTGTGAGATTCACTTTATTTAACACAATATATAATTTTATATATTTATATACATATAAAAATACACGCATAGTATTTAAAATAAAATAAACATCAACAAAACTAAATTGTTTATATGGATCTATACATAAAACTATGTATCTTGATATAACTAAGTAATCTCTTTCTATTCCTTGATATAGAATCTAAAAAGACTTCTCATGCATTATGCAACAAAAACAAAAATAAAATTGAAATGCAATGCAATGCAATGCAATTAATCGTAGTGAATCGCAAAATAAATCACAGGATTCACTCAATTTCCGATTCAACGATACGATTCGAATCATTTTAGTTGAAACTCTAATCGAATCAGATAAATCAAATCGTGAATCACACAATTCTAACAACCATGATTGTTACTTCTACAACAAATCTTCTACTTCCCTACTAAATAGATTTTCCAAGGTTCTTTCTGTTAAATAGGTTTTTACTAGTTTAAAAGCTTTAGAATAGATTTAACCAAATGCAATCATTGTTTGTTTAGTCGGACTTTGACATGTTGAGAAGATCAACTCTCACTTCTCTTGAATTTTTTTTTTTTTTTTTTTAAATACACTTCACTTGAAAATGTTATCCCTTTCTCAATAATTAGTTTGTAAATAAAGTCATAAGCGTGCCTCATTTGTTTAAATAGAAAGAAATGTTCTGCTTGCCACTGATTCTACCCAGAAGATATGCTGAACAGAATTGGTATATATTGTACTAACTCAAGCAAACCATTCCATAATGCATGTTGTGTTCCATGATCTAACTTCTAAGAAACACATGTGGATGGATATAAAAAAAAAGGTTTCACCACATAGTAGAAATTGAACAGAATTATTTAGGATGCAAAATTGAAATAGATCTCCAAAACTCCTCATCAACTAGTTCATTTTAATGCTTTTTTGCCAGTTACCAACTTGCACAACCTTATTTCATTATTTGGGAGTGGCAACACAAAAAACTATCAGAATTATTGACAGAAATTTGTCCATTAATTTTAGCTTGCTTTGACAACTCCAGATTATAATTCAGCTAAATTATTTTTTCTTGTATCAAGAAAATTTTACATCCAATTAGAATCATCGCCTAGCAACTAACCTGTAATCCGTGTTCTTCAGCCTGATATTTATTATCACCTTCAAGACGTTCAACTTCAACATACTTGTCAAACGACGCATAAACATCCCGACAACCTTTGACATCGAGCTGAAGGTCTATCATACAATTAATATGTAAATCAATACCGTACACTGAATTTGATAATGACAAAACCCAAAACAACCTAGACTTTCCATAATAACAAAATACCATAAAATGATTCTTTTCTCGTAGATTTGAAGTCCACATTAATGCATTCGATGTAGTTCATATGGTGCCCTTCAAATAACTGTTGTATTGTCCCTTCCACAACAGTTCCCTGGAACAGCAGATTGCAATCAGAATACCATAACATTGAGTTGAAGGCCACAGCTATTAAATACAGTACCTTCATCTTATCTTCAAGTTTTTCACACAGAACTCTATTAAGCTCCTGCACATCATGCTGCATGAAAGAATCATATGTGTCCCATCCAAAAGATTTGGTCAATTCCTTAGTTGCAACACTGGTCTCATTATATTGTAGCTTATAAAATAAACTCTGAAGAGCCAAAGGAATGCTTCCTGATGGCATGTCATTCTCTGTTGTCGGCATGTGATACACAGCCTGAAACATATCACCCATCATGAGAAACTGCCTTCTACATAAATCAGTGACAAAAACCATATACTTGAGTAGAAGAACATGAGAACTGATCACACCTTTCTGAAGTAGGGAATATGATATAGAGTTTGAAGCAAAGAGTTCATATAACAAGTAGCTCCCTGATTCTTTAGTCCAACATAACCAGTTTCCTTCTTCGAGTCATATGTCCAGTAATCGATGATCCTACGAACAGCAACATCAGCTTCAATAACACATGTATCATTCACAAGAAACCCTCTAGAGGGATCATAAAGTTCACTTAGAGGCATAAAAGATGTGAAGCCCCAATCACTCTCCCTTGCATTGAACTGGTGCTGTGTGTCTACAAAATCCAAACAAGATTGTTAAAATTAAATCCATGTCAGAAGATTTACTTAAAATGTCATCAGAATGTGCACAAAGAAATTGAGAAGAAACAAATTCTCTATTAGGCAAAGGTAAGAAATGAAATAGATACTGA